TCCGTTCCCCTGATTGGGCGGCGGCTGACGACGGTGGCAGCGGCGGATGAGGAGCCAACACAGTCGTCATCACAGTCCTCGTTCACGTTCTCTTCAGATGGGGACAAGGTGTACGTGAAGGGGCCATCGGGGAAGTGGAAGTCATCGTCGTCAGTTACGATGCCGATGTCGTTCATGACGGGGTCGATCGTGGGGAAGCGGTTTTACAAGGACGTGAAGACTCGAGAAGCCGATGACGGGAACGGATGGACGGTGATGCTCGATTACAGAACCCTAAAGACACCTTCCAAGAGACCCCTCAAGCTTCCAACCCTTCCTCTTGCCAAAGCCATTGCTGCTGAATGGGAATATCAGGTGTGCTCCTCTAGGTGTTCAAACTTTTTAGCCATTTTTGTCCTTTGTAATATTAAAAATTGGGTAAAACATTCTTTGAATTCCTAAAGGTGCCCAGCCACGTCTCATAGTGTTTTGAAAGTAAGAAAATTAAGCTATGTCTATTTGAATTTTTGTTTTGAATTTTTCCAGTTCCAATAATGTAACAATATTTTACAAAATAGGAAAAAAAATAGTTGAGGAGAATAAAAAAATAATTATGAACACTTAAAAGAGACAGAACTATGTGAGGAAGTCAAATTTATCTTAGTTTCTCCCATTAATTAAAATTAACATATTTAATCTTTTATAGAAATTATGTCGTCTTATAGGATACTTTGGCTGGTTTTAGTTATACAAGAAATTAAATTCATTTCATTTTCTTATTTTACTCTTTACAAGTGCTACAGAAGGATATCCAAACAGAATAAAAATGTTGTGTTGGATGAGTGTTTGATTTATATAAAGAGCCGTCTACTGGGGAAAAAGGCTTGTTTCTTGTGAGTGTTGTAGTGTCTTTTTGTATTTGCATTGTACTCCTTTTTTTTATCCAGTATTGAATTTTATTTAACAATTTATTTACCAAGGCACAATGCAAGTGATTTTTATCTGATCCTCTTTTCTGCGTGTCAAGAGAGATAGTTAGGACCTGTTTATTATCTATAGAGGGAGAAAGTGGGAGTTAGAACAAGATTCGGACGTTGTTGTGAAGCTTTTAACATGATGAGATTCATTTTCATAAAATTTGACTTTAATTTAGGTATTTATTGCATGTTACGACATTGGGAAGGATTGGTCTGTCCATGTTACTTGATCATGACTATCTGCATTATATCGTGCCAAGTAGAGGATATTGTTATTTGAATAGTGGATAATTATTAGTGTGAGTTGATGGGTAAACAATGAATATTTTATGAAGATTTGTTTCTCATTTTTTCAACTCAATGTTGCGTTATGGCTTCATTTGTCATAATTTTGCACAATCCTGAATCTGAGGCTGCCTGATAGGTTTAAGGGGAAGGTTTATACTAGAAGGAATAAAAACTGACAGACAGTTATAACTGTTTCAGGGGTATTTTTGTTGCCTAGACTTTTATAAAGTCTGCATGGGTAGTTGTTTAGCAGTTTTTATCTTTGATTTGGAAGTTCGGTAAATCTAGGGAAGTGAAGAGTCGGTTTCTCTCAAATAACCAGAAGTTGTGTGTGTTTTAGTTTCTCCATTTGGAGGAAACCTAGTGTATTGCTGGAATAAAGATTACAGTTCTCAAGGTTGTTTCGCATACCAATGCAGACTTTATAAAAGTCTGAGACAACAAAACTACCTCTCAGACAGTTATAACTATCTGTCAATTTTTATTCCTTCTAGTATAAACCTTCCCCTTGAACCTACCACTGCCTTTCTCATCACCAAACAGAATATACCTTTTTCCCTTGAGCTTCCATGAAAGCTATGAATTTTGTTTCACATTTATTCGTAGTTGTCCTCCAAAAAGGTGTATAATAATTTAAAGTCAATTGGCGGGGTGATATAGCTCATGCCAGCCTTCCCTTCAAAATACTTGATGTCCATTTGAAGCTGCATATTTTGTTTAAGTTGTTAATGCGAATGATGAGTGTCACTTAAACTGGACTCCTACTGAAATGACTTATTGCAGCTAACAGATGGCATAAGACCCTTCACAATGCCTCTCATGAGACTTGCTTGCACTGCCCTGGAAAGAGTTCCCCTCACAAGGAGCAAAATTATTGAGAATTTGATGAAGAAATTTAATCAAGATTTAGTATTTTGTCGTGCACCTGATGACAATGAGCTGACAACCTATGTGCATGGTATGGTACTAGTTAACTTGATATGTCTTCATATGTCTGATCCCCAATTAATAAATTGTGATTGCTTGATGTAATACATGCTTAGATAAATCAGAAATTTGTGAGTTGAAGTTGTTATCTTAAAAATTATGTTGTAAAAATCATTTTGGTCGTGCATCTTCAATTGATGGTTTTTGGGGTGGAGATTTGTTTGTAGGAATTATTTTGATTTTATAACTTAACCTGATGCAGTTATAGATAACAATGGTATTTTACACCTAAAACATGAACTTCAACAGTCTTATGAATCAAAGTTATTTAGATCAAGAAGTGTCTCTTTGTTTTTTGCGTTACTTGTATGTTTTTGAATATGAATTCAACCTTTGCAGATCGTCAGGTGGAGAAAATTGATCCATTGCTTCACTGGGTGGAGACAGAATTTGGCTTTAAGCCTGTTGTTTACTCCAGCTTTTTTGGTGGAAAGCAAGAAGATGGTCTTGTAACAGTTATTGAGAACCTTCTAAAGAAAACAGATGATTGCGAATTGGCAACAATTGATGCTATAGCAGCATCAGCACATTCATTAATTATTGCCATTGGAATGGTGCACGGGAAATTGCAAATCGAGGAAGCTATTGAACTTATTAGACTTGAAGAAGATTCTCAGGTACGTACTTATGTGACCATCTCTATAATATATAATCCGAATCATAATCTTCTCTCTCTTTATAATTTGGTATTTGGTGCTTAAATGTTGAAGTGCATGACATAATCTGTGAAATAAAATTATTTTGATTCTGTTTCAGGTGGACAGGTGGGGCCTCGTAGAAGGCGGCCATGATGTGGATATTGCTGATCTAAGAGTGCAGATTTCATCAGCAATTGTATTTCTTGGTTTGTCAAGAAGCATATAGGTTTTTAACTTTGTCTCATTTTATGTTACCATCCTAAGAACTAGCTATCAGGATATATTAGAATAGAAAACCCTGGGGTTGTTGTAATGTCCAGATCTTTCCAGAGGCAATATTCTTAGGAAAGGATGAATTGTTTTTGTAGATGAGTTTTATTATCGTTAAAGATTTGTCCAGATCTATTCCAATGGTTTACAGGGGCCTGATTTGTTTTGGAATAATAGGTAAATGTATTTGTACAATTGGAATAGATACGTGCAACCTTTTATGATTCTATATTTGTATTGATTTTCATTATTCACTCAGCCTATTTAACTCTGCGTTGTTCTCTTGATTACAAAAATTGAGGTTGAATGAAAATAGAACATCTTACCTCTTTCCGTATTGGTTGAAGAGTCGGTATTGTTCTAAAAGAATCAAACTGACTGGAAGTCCTCAGAATACTTTGGAAGGAAATTAGTGGGTTGAAGGATCAGTCCTTTTGATTCTGTGAATAGATCGTGCCACTAAGAGTTGAGGATTTTTTAAAACTGAAGAAATAACCCTGAACTTATGAATACAAGATATCTCAAAAGGTATGACTGGACAAGCTTTTTTATAAATTGTTTTTAGAAAAAAAAATTAAATGAACTTTTCATCCCAAGTATCTTCACATTAACTTTAACTCTTGTGCATACCTTAATGTATATAAGTTTTTATTATATTTTTAACTGAGTATTAGTTTATATAAAAACAATATTTCCTACTCTGGAAATACATTTGAAAATTGTCCGAGTAAGTCTTGATTTTATCTTCTTTGGTTATAAGTAAATCCATTTTCAATGATTTAAAAGTAACAAGCTTTTCTCACCATCTTGCATAAAGGTCGAGTCCTCGGATGCGTTCATCAAATCATGGCCAGTAGGTTTTTGGCTTTGTGGAAGCATATTTATTTGTCATTGAATTTAAAAGCAGACGGTTCTAAATGGCTAACAATTGAAATGAATTTGGATTTTTCCTGTGGTTATAACAGCTGAAGAATGCCCTGAACTAAATTTTGACTACAATAGTGAGTTTCACTTACTAATAGTGTCAAGTATATACTTGGGCCTTCTAAGGATCTTCCTGACAACATAGAACACAAAGAGGAGGTTGTTTGGTGATGTCACAATTACAACATGCGGTGTCGCATTCATTGTTGCATCCTGTAGAAACATCAATTGTCAATTTGTAAAGATTTAGGAAATGTGCAAATTCTGTAGTTATAACCCTCAGAATTTGGGCTAAACTATTACTGATCATTACTAAATTAGCATGGAACAAATCAGAGGCTTTACCTGTTATAGTCTCATACTGAGATGATTGGATACCCTGAGAAATCCCAAGGATTGCAAGGTGAGTCCAACTCTTAAAATTAATGCCATGCACAAAAGAAATCATGGACACCATAAACCAAGCTACTGCAAACGATTTCATGTCTGATGGTGATATTAGGGTATGAGATTGTCTCAATGCTTAATGTGATTTTTTTCTCAATATGGTATTATATATGTTATGAGATTACCTCTTTTATCACTTAAATCATTAAATCTCTTTCACATGTTCATTTTTTTTATAAGCCGTGATTAGATGTACCCATCATTCTAAAGTTGTGTTAATTGTGAGTAAACATTTTCTGATTTTGATTATATTTCTACCATATTTAAACTGAAGACTCTTCACGACAATTCAATGAATCGAGGGTTTCAAATTTTCAGTGCATTTTTAGTTTGGTAGTCTAACGAAATTTTGGTTTCAATAGGGCAGCCATGACCACCCAAATATGCACTCAACTACCATACTCCTAACATTTAAGAATAAAAATCATGATACTCCCAGCGCCATATTGATCATCACCTTGACGAAGAATTTAACAAGATTGAAGAGAAGCAAAGTGTAAAGTATCTGTTAGTTTAAAATCCCTTGCAGAATAATCCAATATAGCTACAGCCAATTTATGAGAGAGGGTTCTGTTTGCTATTAACATTTATTTCAGAAACACAAATCAATAGAAACTAAAATCCCAAGTTTCACAAAAGGGGCTCAAGTTTTATTAATAATGTAGCTAAATCATCCCCAATTTTAAAGAAAATACTAAATGACAACATAAAGGATCAAATGCAAACACCATCATGCTTCTAATAGAGTTTTAGGTTTTAGGCTGAAGTGACTTGATATGTGAGATTTGCTTTCCTGGATTCAACCCCTTTGGGCAGGCACGAGCACAGTTCAATATGGTGTGACAACGATAGAGCTTGAATTCGTCATTAATGGCATCCAATCTCTCTTTAGTGTATTCATCACGACTGTCGCTTATCCACCTGCAAATATCATCACCAACAATATCTCAGCTTTGAATAACCCAACTGCCAAGGTAATCTCTATCTATAACCGCCGATCAATAAAATCTCTAGCTATATCAGAGACACGGTGCACTAGATCACATGCAATGAGTTTAATAAAATGAAAGTATCTTCTAATGTGTAGATGAACTCGTTCTTTCCTAATCCTGACCAAGTATCATAGACTCCTCTAATTAACTCACATTATTTACAACCGTACCACAGACGAATATAACTTACGGACAAGAAAAGAAATTGAAAGTTAATAATGTCTAATATAACGAAAAGTTAATATGAGGCCAGAAGAACAGTGAGTGTATACATAGTCATAACAAAAAATAAATCCAAAAAAGGGTAGTATTTATGGACGAAAAGATTCGAAGTATGACTTCATTCTATAATTCGCTAAATATCAGCTCCTAAGAATGCAGATGTACTGCAGTTTCAAAAACAAAAAAGATATCATTCATTTGTCACTTTTTAGTAGAAGAACCACGAATCAACCAAAATAAGTCACATACACAACAATGGACAGATTCTAATACTTCTAAGAGATCCCCAAGCATTCAAAATAAAACCTAAAAAGAACCAAACAAATAAAAAATAATTCAGTGAAACAGAAACAGGCAAATTATGTCCCATGTCTTGAAGATTCTGTTTAGCATAAGTACACCATGAACAGAAGCATATTATCCTAATATTAACGTAAGAAAATCAATAAAGCATCATGCATATTTCATGGCAGGCGTATTATAATCCTTTCTCAACTCAAGCTTAAAATCAACACAACAAAAACATAGAACCCACCCAATAGCATAAGCATAAACCAACTGACAAAAACAAGAAAACAAAACACACATACTCACATACTCCTGATCAATCTCCTTTCGTACCCTCAATTTCAACCAATAAATCAATGTAAACACATTCATACTTGGTTGGACTCAAATGCTCAAGGGAAGGTTAGAAAAAACGAGAAATTTTATAAAGTTAGTATATGGTAGCTAAGAGTCAGCTGGAATAGACTACACTTCAAGTAAGTGTAAGAGGGGAGGAAAATTATATAAGAGGCTCAACAAAGGCGCTTCAAATATTACAAAAACCCTTATAATAGAAGAAGTCTAGAATACTCTAGCTTCCTTTGTATTCAAATTTAGCATTAGCATTTGAGTTTAATTTTAGGATAGAGTACGAGAAAAGCTATCTATAAATAGTCTTCTCTTATAACTTGAAATCACTTTGAATCACAAATGCAATTTGCAAGAGTCCTTCGTGATGTAGTTTCTCCTTCTTCAATTCTTAGTCATGGACCTTGTTATAGGTTAAATGTGAACCTTTATGGAAGCTCCTCCATCCTCTTATCATTAACTTAAAGAAGAGATATCCTTACATACCTCAATATTCTTGCCTTAGCGAGGTTTCAACATAAGATTTTACAATTGAAAAGCTCTAAAAGCTAAAAGTCAAACCAAACAGTGACTGAGAAAGATGCCCCACCGGACAAACAAAATGGTTTTTACAGTATCACAATAAAAAAAAAAAAGATCAACGCCTGATTTGCATAGTTTCACAAGAACTCAACAATCGGTATTCAAGTTTTCAAGAGATCTTCCATTTTTGGTAACCGACTTCACACATGTGGAAAAAAATAGCTTCCACTGTTGTCATTGAATCACCCGACACTCTCAAACCACAAAACCAGCTCCAAAAATAATTCCCAAACTCGAATACAATTAACAAAAACGCACAGAACCCAACAGAACAACATATACAAGTCACAACAACAATAAAACTCAGTTACAGTTCTTCGCATGCCTTGACTACTATCCTCTAATCAAAAATATAAATTCACTTCGAAAACCTAAATTGATTGATTTTTTGTCTTTATGTAGGTACAAAACATAGTATAATACTTGTTGTTTTCCCTCGATATCGCACAATAATACCCAACGAAATCTGTTCAATTTCGGAGACTACCGAGGTGTACCACAAATTGCGATAAGAAAACACCCAAAACTAAGGTGAGAAGAAAGAGGGAAGTTTGAGCGTTACCTGTTAGCGTGGAGCAAGGCAGCGGGTCCGAGATATGACTCGGGGTTCCACCAGTAGCTAGGGCAGGATGTGCTACAGCAGGCGCACAGAATGCACTCGTACATCCCGTCGAGCTTTTCGCGGTCCCTCTTGCTCTGCAGGATCTCCTTCCCTGGCACCGGCGGCGGATTCTTCCGCTTGAGCCAGGGCTCGATGCTCTTGTACTGGTTGTAGAAGTTGGTCATGTCCACGACCAGGTCCTTGATCACGAACATGTGCGGCAACGGCGTTATGGTGGAGGCCGTCGATGCGGACGGAATCTTGGTGAGACAAGCGAGGCCGTTGCAGCCGTCAATGTTCATGGCGCAGGAGCCGCAGATCCCCTCGCGGCAGGAGCGGCGGAAGGTGAGGGTGGGATCGATCTCGTTTTTTATCTTGATGAGCGCGTCCAGGACCATGGGCCCGCACTCCTTCAGGTTGATCTGGTAGTCCTTCAGCTCCGGTTTCGACGGGTTCTCAGGGTTCCACCGGTAGATTTGGAAGGTCTTCAGGGAGGTCGTGTCGCGGGCCTTCGGCTCCACCTGCTGGGCCTGGGCCTCCGACGCATGGGCCCGGATGAATGCCAGCTTGAACGCCGGCGAAGACGGCACCCGCTGCGCCGCTCTCTTCAGCAACCCCGTCGCCGCCATCGAAACGAGAAGGTTGGAAGTGAAGGGAATGTAATGCGTGAAGTGTTGTTCAGATGTTATGACCCAATTGCTTTATGTTCTGCTAATGCGCTGTTCTGTTGGAAAGGCATAGGGATGCATTTCTTGCCCTTATATATATCTCTTGTTAATTTTTTACTTATATGTAAATTAATTAATATCAAATTATCACGGAGTTTTATTTGATAACGTAGTTATTCAATGTTTATTTAATATTTGTTTTAAATTTATGTAATTATATTCTTTTCATAATGAGATTTTCATAATTTTAAATTACTATTGTTTTTCTGATTTTAATTTTTTGTAAAAATTATTTAATCAATTCGTGAACAAGTAAAGTTCAAATATATAATTGAAATGAAATATATATTTTATATCTATTAAATATAGAATGCAAATTAATTATAAATTTCATACTCATCAAATACTTAATTTTATAGTTGAGAAATAATAAAAAGTATAGTAAAACTGTTATTAACCCAACGTTCTACTTTGATACCTATTTCTTTCTCATCCTTTATATTAATTTTTAATTTAATAAAAATAACACATTTTTCTTTATTGTGTTTTAACCTTTTTTTTCCATCAAATACATATTGCAGGAATTTTCTTAATATAATAAAAGACACAATTGATTTATTTTTCTTAATGCTTTGTTTTTATATTTTCTTTTTCTTTCGCATTCACCGTTCATTCACCATTCATTGTTATTGCACCTATTGATACAAGCTAAAGATTTGTTTTTCGGCTCTTTCGCGTTGTATTTACAATCATTTCATTATGTATTTTTAAAATATTTAAAATTTCAAAACTGTCCTCTACACTTTAAAAAACTCTGCATTTCATTTTTTATGTTTTATCAGATTTTGAAATCAATGATAGATTTTTCTTTATTAAATTTTAAAATTCCATAAAAAATTATTTATTTTCTTTATCGAACTTTAAAATTTGATTGAAATGTTTTTTTCTTTGATGAAAATATTTTTTTTTTCATTAGATTTCAAAATTTAATGATCTTTTTAAAAAAAAAATTCATCAAATTTTAAAATTTGATAAAGAAAAAATTATTCAGATTTTGAAATCTAATAAAAAATATATAACTCTTAAAATTATTTTTAGAAATTGAAAGTAGATTATGAAATGTTTGAAAATATAAAGTGGAACAGTCTTGTTTTTCGTATGTTTACATTAAAAAGCATGGGACAATATATAGTATTATTGTTATGAAGGTTTTGGAGGCGTGGCAACAGGGGAAGCATTGGTGGAGGGGTGTTACGTGGGGAATTTGGAGCTGCATTAACTCATTTCCTTCTTGTAAACGAGATGCGCGTGTTCACCATGCGCCCGTTGCCGTGTCGCCTTACGAAACATTAAAGTTAAGGCTATGCTTAGAGCAACGTTTGTCCAAATTAAACCACGGATATCTCTAACTATATTTAAGTATATATTCATATAAACTTTTTTATGACTAAATTTAGAAAAATAAGAATAAATATGTATATTTAGACTAAAATTAATTTATAAATGATTGGATTTATAAAAATTCTCTCATGTAAATTTTTAAATTTCTTTTAATTGTACATGAATTAATTTTAAATTTTTAAAATATGTATATAATATAGTGTGTGATCCATTCGGTAGGCCATGCGATAAGGTAGCACCGAAAGTGAACATGTTGTATTAACTGAACGGTGTTGAAAATATATCCATATTGTTTGGTTAATTTGTTTTAAATTATAAGTGAAATAAGTAAAACATGCATGTAGGTGTTGGACTATAATTGGGTTGACATTAGTGTTATTGGACTAATATTAACTTAAGATCCATGATAAAACGTATAAACATAGAGATAAATTATGTGTAAAGTTAGCTTAATTGAGTTTTAATACTTAATCGTGAATTAAGTTCATTAACTAAAATCTGACTTGAGCGTCAGAGTGTCTAAAAAAGAGAAGGTGAAAACAAAAAGATGTACTTTCTCAACCCTACTCACTTATATAATAAACAATTAGAAAAAACATGTTCACTAATATAGTCCTATACATAGAATGTACATTATCCTTAATGATATTCTCGCTTAATTCGTATTATGTGTGCAAACGAATATCAAAGTATTTTATTGTCTTATATTTAGCAAAAGTTATTTAATTAAAATATTTATATAGATATATGATTAAAATATTTATATAGATATATGAAGATTTTTTTATTTCTTCCTTTATGGTCTTATAAAACTATTTCATCGTATATTTATATTTTTTTTATTGTAAGATATTTTTATATATTTTTTTGTTTTTTTTTTATTTTATTTTTATCTTACCTAGATGACCAAGTTTATGGTGTATTTTATTTAGGATGGTGATGAAGTAGGATGGGATAGGTTTGCGCATCTCATTTTAGTCCTAAAGTAAAATTACTTATTATTATTTCGTATTGAAGGGATATAAATTTGTTGTCAAATCCTTAATTTTATTAGCAACAAATATAACATACCCGCTCTTTTATTATTCCAAATAGTAAATAAAATTTTGATGAAGATCAAATAATCATAAAAAGTACAAATGATCAAATGTGTGTCACAAAATATAAGTTACAAAAGTAATATTAAAAAATTAATAAAAATTTGTTATATCTCCAAATAAATTAAAAGTTTATTATTAATTTAAAATTGAACCGATATTGAGATGAGACTAAAGAAGATATGTACATATTTATCTTTATAATGGATTCTTAGTGGTCTCTTTGTATAAAAATTAGATTGAATATTTTTCTTTCTTTTTAGTTGTTTTAATAATTTTTTTAATGTAAATCCTTCAACTATCCTTTAAATAAATTAAATGTCTTTACGATATATTTGATAGTTATGAAAATTTAAAAATATTTAAAATTATCTTAAAAGATTTGGTAGTTATTATCTTTTGACATTTTCTTATATAATTAAATAAGATAAATATTTAAAAATACAAAAAAAGTCTAAAAATATATTTGTTAGTCTCGCGGTACCCAATTTTTAAAAATATATCACCAGAATATTTTAAGGAATCTAATTTATCCTTTCTTACTCTCGCGGTACCCATAAAAATCTCTTTCTTATTTCCCAGCTACCTCCTCCCTCTGTAACTAGAACAAAACCAGAAAGAGAAGAGGGAAGAAGTTTCCCCTTGCAACGTGAAACAACGCAAAAAAAGAAGGAAAGAAGAAGAACGCTCAACACGTCGTCGCGAGCCACCACGAATGTCGCTTGGTCGCGCCATCACGAAGCCATCGCAACCACTTTCCTTACACGAGAAAGAAGATCAAAACGAAGGAGAAGAAGAGAACGTCCAAGGGTTGCCATGTCATAATCTCTTAAATTAAATAAAACATTCCACGTAATAAAATATTTTGACATCAGCGTATTAATTATGCAACACGTTAGCACCAACTAACGCCGTCTGTGACAACTTAACAGATAGGGCAAAGTTGGCTCAATTTTACAAATATTATGACCCAATTGAGACAGTTTCAAATATGAGGACCCACTGTAGATTACCATGCAAATATGAGGACCATCTGAGGGTTTAAACCTAAAGATAATATATCTAACATTCCTCCTCAAGCTGGTGCATACAAATCGTATGTCCCAAGCTTGTTACAAATATAATCTATTCTCGGTCTCCGTAAAGACTTAGTAAAAATATCGACTAACTCATCACTTGAATTAACGAACTCAGTCTTGATAACTCTAGATACAATCTTCTCTCGAATGAAATGACAAACAATCTCAATGTGTTTGGTCCTCTCATGAAAGACAAGATTAGAACTAATATAAAGAGCAGTTTGATTGTCACATATAAGCTTCATTTGAGTGACATCTCCAAAGTTGTAACTCTCTAAGCTGGTGCATACAAATCTAACACTCCCCTCAAGCTGGTGCATACAAATCTTATGTCCCAAGCTTGTTACAAATATAATCAATTTTTGGTCTCCGTAAAGACTTAGTAAAAATATCGACTAACTGATCTCTTGAATTAACGAACTCAGTCTTGATATCTCTAGATACAATCTTCTCTCGAATGAAATGACAAACAATCTCAATGTGTTTGATCCTCTCATGAAAGACAAGATTATAACTAATATAAAGAGCAGTTTGATTGTCACATATAAGCTTCATTTGAGTGACATCTCCAAAGTTGTAACTCTCTACGTAGTTGCTTAAGTCAAACAAACTCACAAGTGATTGAGGCTATAACTCTATAATCTACCTCTACACTAGATATTGCCACAACACTCTATTTCTTGCTTTTCCAAAAGATCAAGTTACCACCAATGGAAACACAATATTTGGATGTAATCAAAAGGAGATCCTACCCAATCAACAACATAATAACAAACCACTATTGTATGGTTATTAGAACCATATAAAAACTTTTTTCCAGGAGATCCTTTAATGTACTTTAATATACAAATAACTGTATTCCAATGATCTTCACACGGGGAATTAAGGAATTGGGTTACCAAACTAACTGCAAAGAAAATGTCAGGACGAGTAACTGTAAGATAATTCAATTTTCCAACTAATCTTCTATATATCTCAGGTCTGATATAGGCTTTCCCTGTTTTGGTAGAAGTTTAGTATTAGGATCCATGGGTGTGTCCACAAATTTTGAATTCATCAATCCAGTTTCCTCCAAAATATCCATTGCATACTTCCTTTGAGATATAACTATATCATCGTTGGATTGTGTCACCTTAATACCTAAGAAATATCTAAGTTTGCCAAGATCTTTGCTTTGAAAATGGTTGCAAAGATGTTCTTTCATCTATGATATGCCATGACTATCACTGCTTGTAAGAACAATGTCATCAACATATACCATCAAGTAGACACATCCAACACTCGAGTGATGGTAAAAGACTGAATGATCTATCTCACACCGAATCATACAAAATTGTTGAACAATGTTACTAAATTTTCCAAACTAGGTCCTAAGAGATTGTTTTAGGCCATATAAGGATTTGCGAAGACGACATACCAACCCAAAAGACTCTCTTGAGCAACAAATCTTGGAGGTTGCTCCATATAACCTCTTCTTGCAAATCTCATTAAGGAATGC